ATTGGAACAGGTGGGTGGTGTGACTCCCAAGAAGGGTGGAACAGAACATTTGGGCCTTCCTGTTTTCAATACAGTTGCTGAAGCAAAGGCTGAAACTAAGGCTAATGCTTCAGTCATATATGTTCCGCCTCCATTTGCTGCCGCTGCTATTATGGAGGCCATGGAAGCTGAGCTCGATCTTGTTGTCTGCATTACGGAAGGGATCCCTCAGCATGATATGGTATTCTAATTTATGCCCTTACACCTTGTATGGGCAAAACAATGGTAGTTATTTGTTTCTTATCTTCTGGTTAACATTCATCCGGTCCATGCTTATTTGTTGATAATTGATAAGGAAGGGTTGATGCATTTTAAAAGGTTATTGAGTTCGCAAGAACTTTACATTTCAATCACTATTTATATTTTTTTCTTTTATGATACTCAGGTAACATAAATGCAACGTTAGGATTTTGACTTCCATTTACAATTGCAGAGACTATAAGTCTAGAACTGTTATTCTAATTGCCCCCTCCTCTCTCTCTCTTTGTCTCTCTCTCTGTCTCTCTCTCTGTGAGTTTCAAGTAGGTATACTTCCCATGTATGTCGCTGAACATAAAACTTCCTGAGATTCATAAAAAAATCTACATTTTCTCTGATTTAATAAACAAATCAATGAACATAGACTCTTCTTTCAAGCCAAAATATACTTTGGTCATTCTGGACTAGTGTAGTTACTTAGCGATTCTTTTTTGTAGAGTTGAAGAAGAAAATGGTGTTACTTATCAGAATCTGTACACTAATTATGAGTTTGTGACTCTTGATATGTGGAGTTAGGCATAATAAATTTTGCTTATGATTCCAGGTTCGAGTCAAGGCTGCTCTGAACAGGCAATCCAAGACACGGCTGATTGGACCCAACTGCCCTGGTATTATTAAACCTGGGGAATGTAAAATCGGCATTATGCCTGGGTACATACACAAACCAGGACGTGTGGGTATTGTGTCCCGCTCTGGGACCTTGACTTATGAAGCAGTAAGTCTTCTTGATTTTAGCAGGAATATCATGGCATTCCTAAAATTTCCTCAGTTCAAGATTGATTAGATTTACACTAGTGCACATTGTCACTCGAGGACGTAGACTCTGCTAGACACATAAATAGTTATCCAGCAACATATGCAGCAGCATCACTTTTGGACTTCTCATATCCCTTTAATGGTATCTGTGTTTTCTCTGGCTGAATGCACACTTCCTTTTTGAAAAAGCCCATTGAAAAAATTAAGGAGTTTTTTTTTTTAGGAGAATTCTTGTTTGTCAGTTTATGACATCCTTGTCTTCTGATCTTTGCTGAAATCGTCTTTAATTTTTGTTTTACAAGAGAAGTAGTATTTGCATAGGTTTTGTCTTGTACTTCGTATCTGTCAGGGTCAACTCCAAATTTGACCAATGCATTGCTAATTCTTCTAGACAAAGTTGGCCCTTGTAGTTGCTCATATCAAATACTGACTCTGTTTCTTTGCCCTGGTGGGAACTCTGGTTTGCATTTTCATTAAAATCAAGCCCTTGGGCCCTCACATCATCTAAATTTCGGTCGAAGACAGCTTGCGTCTAATCTGTATCTGCCTGGATCATGTCCGATATTCTAGTGGCAGTATCCATCTTATGAGTACTTGCTGAATTTGGAAATTTGTCACTTAGTTCACTTGTCAATTTTTGTTTGTGGGCCTCGTTGGTCATTTGATTTTTGTGGATTCTTGTTTGCTTGAATAGCAGTCATATAGATATGCCAAATGGGATGACAAAAATATATTATTTCTCTATCTTCCCTTTTCCTTGCAGGTTTTTCAAACAACCGCAGTTGGTCTGGGACAATCCACATGTGTGGGAATAGGTGGGGATCCTTTCAATGGGACCAACTTTGTTGACTGCCTTGAGAAATTCGTCGTGGATCCCCAGACAGAAGGTAGATGTCCAGAATGTCAGTTAGATGCTCATAATTCAATGGGGGTTGTTCATGATTGTTTTTCTCATTATTCATTTTGTCGCTGAGCGAGAGCTTGTGAACAGACATGTTCTTATTATTCTTAATCATCTATTTTGTCAGTAAGATTTTAGGATAACGGGTTCAAAGGAAGGGACTTTAAATGCCTTACGACTTATGAGAAATTCTTGTATGAAAAAAAGGGAGCACTAGGATCCAGGAGACTAATACAATCTGGCCCATTTGGCCTGCTCTTTAGCTAATCTATTTTCACCGATGTGAGTTCAGTATGAGGAGCCCGAAGACTAACAAGAATATTGAAGTGGTCAACCTGATTGGCTTGGGTTAGAAATCATAGAATTTTCACTTGCAGAAAAATCATTTTGTTCTAAAATTAGTCAAAGTAAGACACTAGTTTAGCCATATTTCAAATATTTGTAAACTCTTTATCCGTTAATTTCTGAGATATGAGCACTGGGATGGCTTTATGGTAGTGGTAATAGAATAACTCCTATGTCTGCTGGTAATGGCTTTGCCTGCTTCTTTGTGGCAAATATAAGACTGCCAAAAATTGGAAGCTGTATCAAGAAATTGCTTCAACAAAGTTTCTATATACATGTTCTGAATATTCTTAATTTGAGTTTCATGCATTTGGCTTAGATCAAAATAGAGTGTATGTTCTCTTGGTCGATTGAACTGGTATAGATTCCCTGAAAGTGAATCTCTACTGATAATTTCATCACTACATCAATTCCCTTTGAATTTTTGGTGATCTTCTAATTCCGTTCATACAATCCTGTTGAACATTGATTCCTGACAAATGTACACCTCCAGGGATTATTCTAATAGGTGAAATAGGTGGAACTGCAGAAGAAGATGCTGCTGCATTTATTAAGGTGAGGAAATATGTTTTTACCCTTTGATGAATCTTGGCAGTTCATGAGAAAATGAAAGAGATAGGCATAACTGGGGCTTTTGTTTGATTATTCAGTCTCCTGTATCCAAAGATAAGATTTCTACATATTTGGAATGCTTTATTTGCTGTTTTGTATACTTTTAATGAAGATTTTTTCATTACTTCTGGAGCTTGCTTGGCAACACATTCTTGCTGTCAGAGCAACTTGAAAGAAACTTTTGGACCTGTGCTTGTAATGCTTGCTTTTGCTTCAAAGCTTGTTCATAGTAAATTTCTGGACTACCGGAGAACAACTGACAGCTGAAAGCTCTCTTGTTTCACTAGTAGTACGTACTATTCATGCACACAGGCAACTCTACAAAGAAGTTTAGTAATTTTCACATATTGTCAATCGGTACCTAGGGCACTAAGAACTTCTTCTGAGTGCTGTTATAAAGAGAGAACTTGTATCTTCAAGTCATTAAAATTGAATGAAGTGTAATGTTTTGACACGTCCTGAAGAAGATTCAAATTTTTTTTGACTTTTTCATTTCACGTTTCCAAAGCACATTGGTAATTGCATAACAAGTCCCGAGGATACCTGTTTTCCTTCTATTATGTTTCAAAACTGTTACATAGTTTAGTGTGGCGGTCCAGAGGGATTTGAATCTTGTACAACTGCTGAGCTGCGCATTTGTCATTGTTTGAGTTCTTCTGCTTTAACATCACCTACTGATCGTGAAAATGAAATGTTAATTTCTCTGGAGCTTGCCATGTTTTGTGTATCTGGGAAGAGTTATACTTGCAAAGACTAGTCATGCTGTGCTGCCCCATATAATTCTTCTTCATTACTGTCACTAAACTATCTTTGGTGATCAATCAACCAGGAAAGCAAGACAAAGAAACCTGTTGTTGCCTTTATTGCTGGTCTAACTGCTCCCCCCGGTCGTCGTATGGGTCATGCTGGAGGTGAGCATTTCCTCCATTTACTACTCTCAACACATTTCCTCTATATCTACAGTTCAGAAATACCCTACATTACGTTCTAGGACGTTCTTATTTCTCATAGAATTGAGGTCCTATATCTTGCTTCGTGCAGCTATTGTGTCAGGTGGCAAAGGCACAGCTCAGGGCAAAATCGACACACTTCGAGAAGCTGGGGTTACAGTAGTGGAGTCCCCAGCAAAGATTGGTTCTGCTATGCTTGATGTGTTAAAGCAGAGAGGTCTTGTCAGTAGTTAGTGTTGAGTAATCAGTATCGAGTAACATGAGTCAAGTTAACATCAACACGAATTCTTTTTTTTTTCTTGAGAAATTTTTGAAAATATTATTACTTTTCATTTCTGATCTTAATTTAAAGTAGTTCTAGAAAGCTTGGGTTCTGTATGCGGCAGATGATTTCAACAAATGAGCACTGAGGCCATCTAATATTGGATGTTGTGCACATCCTCTTGTAGCTAGGGTACAAAGAATTTATTATCTCCTAAGAAATTAGCTAGTTTATTCTATAAACCAACTTCATAGAATACCTCTAGCTATGCTTCACATGGTTTCTGGAGAGAGAGAGATAGAGATGGTGGTGATTGGAGAGAGAGCGTGGAGTGGTGAGTACAACGAAATTATGGCTCCATGGATCGCTAGCGATGGCAATGGCAAAATTCTAGTTTGTATAGTCTGGTGAAAGACCAGATGAAGAAGAAAGGAGGAGGAAGAGGAGGGAAAAAAGGACGAAAAAAAATGAGCTGGAGAAAAAGCTGGTAATCCAAGTTCATGTTTTTGGCTGGTCATTGCTGAGGTGACACTCCACGTTAGCAGAAAACGTGACATCGGGGATCACATTGAATATCGAAGAAGAGAATCTTGCTACCTGTTCTTTTGTGACAATGTGATAGCCTCGGAATCGTTCGTTTTCAAATTTGGCGATATAATTTCTGGAGACTCTGTAACTGGTAACTATCATGTTCACATGATCTTTAACGAGCGTGTGGCTACAAGGAACACGCGGCAAAAGGATCTCGCGGAAAGCTAACTTTGCGTGTAGTGGTTTCAGTAGCCATGCTCTAATGCTAAAAGATCACATTGAGTGATGACATGAACTTGCAATCATCCGATAGTCACTCCCAAAAGCATACGTCGCGGCCCCACAGTAACAAATGGTAATACATTCTTCATTAATGCTTAGTTGACCATAGATTATTATTGCATTTGCCGCACTTACAAATTCAATGAAAGAGAGATTACATATATCAGGAAATACAAGAAGAACGAGACTAGAAGCGCGATAGCCTGCCTGTTTCAGGCCGTTGACCGATCGATCCGTCTCGCAGAGTTTCGCAGAATGTCTATATCCTATACCTCCCCAGGGCTTTCCTCCGTTCTTCCCCTCAATGTACACTTCGGGGCTGTAACATATGAATGTGGCATAACGTTGGCAACAAATATCTCGTTCCATTAAATCGAAGTCCAAATAATTATGTGATGTATATGTGGCGAGCTTTCTCCATGGCTAATCAAGAGCTGCTTTGTTCCTACGGCCAGATATCGGTATCGGGAGGCCCTCCAAAAGTGGCCCGGTGATGGACGCGGCTGAAAGCACCGGCAGGTCTGGTTTCAAGTTCCACTTCGAGGTTGGCCAAATGGATGAGGACCTACGGCCATCTTGATCCTGGAGGCTAGATAAGCTTGAGGCCTTCCGTACTCCAACAAATTCATCGACCATTACAGAATCCCCGATACCAAGAGGGATAGCATTCGACCAACTCGACTCCACATTGCCAATCAGCGATGTTCGGCTGGCTGATTTCGGTCTCAATGCCAGACCCTTTCCTGTTACTGTGGAGAAACTGCTGCGGCTTCCACCACTGTTTTCTTCTTTCAACAACTTTTCTGGAGTCCCAACCCCTAAATCCGGTTCTGCCTTTTGACGCCTCCGGACAGACTTTTCACTAGATTTCTCTCCCTCGTCATCCCCAGAATCTGCAAGAGGCACAAAGTCTGCAACTCCACCATCTTGGGAAAAACCTAAACTTTGAGTCTTGTAAGTTGACTCAGGACTAGGTGAGGCTTTAGGGGGCAACCCATTGCCATAAATGTAAGGGGTTCCTGTTCTGTAAACAGTCATTTCCATGCCTTCTACGCTTCTGTCATTCTGCGAATCGAGGCCATAGTAGCTTTGCAAGGTGTTCATTGCTGAAGAGACCTTTTGAGGTGATTTCAATCTAAGAGACTCGAAGGAGTCCAAGATATTAGAGGTGGTGCGATGCGAGCGACCATTTTTGCACCCATTCTCTCTGCAAATGATGTGAGCCTTATTAATCACATAGTTACAGTATAATGTGTAGAGATGATTGTACAGACTATTATCCCCTAACAAGACTGAAACATGAGGCATCACAAAAACTGATGATTCTTCTTTCTTTTATCACTTAGGAGCAGTACTCATTAGCGAGCCTCTGGTATATGAAGATATTTATACTTCTCTCCACATAACGAAGACTAAAAGCCAGAAAAGCTCTATCCTTTTTAATCTCCCTTTTCAATACATTCAGGTAGAAGCCTTGACTATCTCAGTTGATAAACATCTCATAATAACGACTACTATTTAAGTAACAGACTTGGCAATCTCACTTTATGTAAACCAAGACAAGAATCTCCCTCCACAACACTGCTCTGTACGTATAGCCAAAAAGAGTAGACAAGCACAAGAAGTTGATGAGCAGTTTATTAGCGAGTAACGTCAACTTTCACCAGGAAAGTGGTTCTTATAGAGAGATAATTTCAATGGCAACGGAAAGAATACTTCCGTAGGAATGAAAGAAGGAAATTTGGAAATGGTGGTTTTCATCAGTTTAGTGGATTCAACTCCTTGTTTCTTGGAAATTTTTTCTACCAGGGAGTGCTCACCAAGTCCTTGTGAAAACAGGACAGGAAGAATTTTTTCCTTTCAGTTTAATTGTTTTCAGGTCAATTTGGCTTCACAGAAGCACAATAATTTTTAACTTTCCTATCACCAAGGCCCACTCATCCGGGGATCATCTTGCCCAGGTTAAAACTTTAGCTGCTCTATAAACACCCAAATGTGCATAACTTTGAAATTGTCTGGTGGTAAAAGGGAATGACAGCAATTATAAAACTCCAAGGAAATCTAGGGGATTAGAGATCCTTAATTACTTAAAGAGAAACATTAGCTCTGCATCTTTCAGGCCCATGTGCATATTTCAAAAAAAGGTCGGACATCTCCCATGGAGAAGGGTCAGAGGGATGTCTTCTCGAGGCTATGGACGTCTTGATTCAGTTAGACCTCCCTAAAGAGTCTGGGAAAAACAAACCCCAGCATGCTTTCTAGAGTACATTGCAGTCTCTCATTATATTAGTCAGTAGTGCAGTAGCTACATTTGAAGGACTTTGTTGATAACTACCCTTAAAGAACTTTGGTATGTACCTACATAAGGATAATTTACTACTTACAATGTAATGGTTGTTTCTAGGGCAAGCGTACTAAATACATACAAACTTGAATTATTATTTGTTACGTACACTTAACAAGCACTCATAAGGAACTCATTAACATGACCACGTAATTTTTGTTAAAAGAAAAGGCTTGTCAGGTATCCAACTACTCTGGTTATCCTTGTCTTTTTTAAGGTTTTGACCATTAAATACTGATAGGCAGAGAATATACTGCAATGCTATAATTAACAAGATAGGGACCTATCAAAAAAGCAATCACATATAGGTGTTTTGCGGTCTTTTGCTTCAGAAATACAAGAGTCTTGGCTTCATGAAATGTCCTTAATATAACAAAGCATCGGTGCGCGATACCTTGAAGAACCAGAACCATCAGACAGGATGGCAGAAGGTGGATGTCTTCCTGGTAACGGTATCCGCAACGTCTTCAGAGCAAACATTTGAAGATCAGTGGCTAACCCATTCATCCTTTTTATATCTGTGACCTATGCAGCAAAATAAAAGCCATTAGACGAGCGAGATAACCTCGAGCGACACGCATCACTTTAGCTATATCACAACTCTGAGATGGGAACACTTGGTCTGGTGACCTAATCCCATGAGGAGGAATGCAAAAGCTAGCCACTTGACTATAGGGATGTTATCTCTGGAGAAGTGCAACACACTCGATCGTAACAATTGTAGAACTATGTTCTAGAGTAAATCAAACCATTACACAGGAAAGACCTCGCTGCTTTGCCACATTAGTTTCTGATCCTAGAAGCACAATGAGGCACAACGAGACTATCACAGGCATATCATTTCATATGGTTGATGCAGAAAGAGTAGTTCCCGTCACATGCAAACCCCATGAGAGGATTACAGGATAGGCTATTGGCATCAGAAACCACAGAGACCTAATAACCATGTAATTTCTTATTTTTACTTCCATCTCCATGGCACATTCCACTCTATAAGTCAGCCTAAAGATGACTTCGACTCTGATTGAAAATCAAGGATTGGATCCAGAGAAAAACCCATCCAAAGTTTTGTGCAAAGCCTACACAACCTAACCCGAGCCTTTATCCATGGAAAGACACCAGCAACCACAGGCCTCGTGCAGGTCCGAATTAGCTCGCTCTTCTGGCATTCCGACATAGCTAGTCAAAGTAAGTCCTGACAGCAACCTTTACTCATCCCGGAGCGAAATACAAAAGTACACCAACGAACTCCGGGAAGGTGCTCGTCACTCTTCACCAACAGCAAAGTAACAAATGCCCGCTCCTTCACTTTGGAAAAAGCGCAGAACCAATCAAATCAAGCTTCAAGCCGTTCGCTTCAGCATCCATCCAGGGCCATAAAAGTCCAATCGAGTCGAGCCATCTCCTCTTCGGGAGCGACCCCAATCCTCACCGCACAAGATCTAGAGGAACTCGCGAGCGCGCGGGCACACAGAAACGAAGCGGCGGGCCGGGGGAAGGACCCACGAATAGGGGAGGGAAAAGAACCGACAAACCTCGACGCCGTATTTGATGGCGATCCCGGCGAGAGTGTCCATCTTCGTCACCTCGTGCTCCAGGTGGTTGCCGCCATTAGCTGCTCCGGCTCCGTCCGAGCCGCCGCCGCCGCCGCCGACGCCATTGGAAGGAGACATCCTCCCCACCGATCCGACCGCCCGCGAAATCCCGCTCCCCCCCTCCCTCCCTCGCGGGATCGAGCCGATCTCCCTCCGGATCAACGGAAGAAGGAACGCCGACCGAGTGAAGCGGCGAGAAGCTTAGATGGAAGCGTGACGGTGACGAGCGAAGGCGAAAGCGAAGGCGAAAGCGAAGGCCTCCTCTCTCTCTCTCTCTCTCTCTCTCTCTCTCTGCGATGGCTTTTGTGGAACAGCACCGACAAAAAGAAGAAGGATCGAATGAAATGAACGATTGAATGCGGAGAGGAGAGAGAGAGACAGAGAGAGAGAGAGACGGACAGTGAGACGAGGATAGTTGGACCGAGCCTTGTCGGAAAAATTTTATGGATTCTGCGAAAATTTAAATAGGAAAAAAAATAGAAATAGTGAAAATAGAGATTTCTTTCCTTTTTTTTCAACTATATATATATATATATATATATATATATAATTTCTCTCCGGTGAGGAAAAGTACAACTATTTAAATTGGGTTGTAACGAGTGATTATTAACAAGAGATGAGGAAAAGCACACAATTTTGGTGAAATGAGTCAACGACTTTTCCAACGAAAGTGTCGAAAAAGCCCGAGTGAAATTTTTTTTTCTCACGGTCAAATTCAGGGAGACTTTTTGCATCTTTGGGCGGCCAATAGAAAAAGGGGTCACCCGCGTTTCGGTCGACATGGTTCGGTAAGGTTCGGCAAAAAACGCACGGATCAGAAACCACGTATACGCATCAAGTTATGGAAAGGACTCGCGTTTTTTCAACGAAAGTTAAGGAGCGGGACTGAGAATCGTGGTCAACATCCAATTTCTAGACCATCTCTTATCGTCGAGTCATCCATTTGAATTTCGGCTCTTTAATTTGGATATAGCCCGGAATTTAACCGTCTGCAGAATTAACTTCAACCTTCGTACCGGTAAATGAACTTATTAAGCTGCCAAACGGGGAGATGGCGACTTGATGTAGCTCCTTATCATGGGTCGTCGTTTCTTTGCTTCCAAGACTTCCAAGAGGTGGGTACGGAGACGTCCGACGTCCTCCCGCTTTTGGGATTAGTTCAGATCTGAAGGTAAAGAGCGTGTGTTAACGGCGTCCTACGTTTACCATATCCAGGATCAGTAAAAACTCGTAATGCATCGGGGGGACTTTATCGTCTGCTGATACTTTCTATAACTAGGGCGTCTAGTATTTATTGTTAAAATTCCTCTTTAGTAATGTTCTTACGATAATCAGTCTTCTTGTGTAGATGTTGCTTCGCTCTATTGCTGGTTTGAGAACTGAGACCCTATTGATTAGTCCTCATCATGTGCAGGATTCGGCATCCATTGGTGTGATTGGATACAAACAGAAATGACATAGGTCATACGCTTACAATGAGCATGCCATGCCAAGGAATGAGAGGTACTGCTTGACATAAGTTTCCTTCGTCCTGTTACTTCCTTGCAATGTGTCGGCTAAATGAAGGTTAGCGATCTTGCAAAGAGTTCTGCTTTATCTGTTCTGTTGCCTTTTTCCCCCATTGTTTTTTTGAGGAAATAGATGACAGGCAAGCGTGCAGAGAGATGCAATTGAATACCTTATTCCTGATGAATAATCTTACAACTGAAAAGATCGAAAAGTGCTTCAACATCGAGCTAGATAATAGGTATACAACATGAAGCAGTTGACTCTGAATTACATTGCCTCATGTAAACACCTAATTTGGTTGCTTTCACATGAGAGGTCACTGTAACGACCAGTTGGAAATATATTAGGTAACATGAAAAAATAAGAAGAATTGAAAATTTATTGAAAAACACGAGAAAATAATATCAATTATCTGAGGCGTGCTAGTCACTGTCCTTAAGGATAATTCCGCCCCTCGTAGTACGAAACTCGGTGCGTAAGGCTCTAGCGGCTATCCTCCCAAAATACAACAGACCTTCTTTTATATTCCGCACTAAATATTAGAAGAAGCATGAATAACGTTATGTGTATATCCCGGTAAATAAATGAAAGATAGATAAAAGAAACAACAAATAATATTATTGTTCTGATATATACATCTCATTTTCCAATTATGCTCAAAGTAACAATTTTATAAGTACGAGAACTTTTCATTTGCATCCGCCCCTGACACTGTTCATGCGGGCACTGTTAAGGTTTCTCTCTATTCTGTGGAATCCCGCAGCACTGTAGCTCGTGACTGGGTTCCGCGGCTCCCCAGAGATCTAGCCGTTGGAATTTCCTGGTTTTTGGAGGCTGAAGTCGCCAGGTTGGTTCCTCCTTTTCATCCGTTGTGATCCCCCATCCCTGGTTTATGCTTTGCTGGGCAGTAGATCTGGGTTGTCTGGGTTCGCATCTGTAATCTCTGTTCTGGTCAGTGCTGGGAGTTAGCCGGCTAGTTTGGGCTGTGCGTCAGGAAGCGTGGTTGTTTTCACCTAGTTTATTTGATATTTGGTGATTCTTTGGTTGCTCTGTCCCCCTCTTCACTGTATGGGAGTTCGGAGGTAGAGCCAGCCATGTCTGGAAATCTGAGTTCAAAGGAGTTGTCCACTCACTTGTCTGATCAGATGGGCACTGTGGTAGAGGCGATCCATTTTCCTTCGATTCCCCCTGTTGCACCGGCTATTCTTTCCAAAGAGGCCGGGGTGGGCACTTCCGTAGTAGCCCCGGTTGTGCGACCTCTTCGCCCCCGGAGTCGTGGTCGTAGTCGCAAAAGGCAACCGTCCACATTGCCTCGTGGTGGTGCTAATGGAGCAGGGCCCTCCCAACTGGAAAAAACCCAGGTGAAAGCTCGCAGCCGCAGTAAAGGGGTTGCCCCTTCGAACTCACCAAGCCAGGTCTCAGGTCCTCAGCCTCCTCAGCGTTCCTGGGCTTCAGTGGCCAAATCAGCGGAGAAAGGGTACAACCTCTCCTATATCCCGCCTTCTTTTGTAGATGGTAAACCGGTGGTAAGAATCTCGGAGGAGATCTTAAGGGACACAAACCCGATTTGAAAGGAATGTCTTGTGGGATACCTTGTCGGGAAAAAACTTCCCTTTTAAGTTGACAGAGAATGCGGTCAAGAATATATGGAGGACACAGGGGGTGAATGTCCTTGCCAATGTTGATGGGTTTTACTTCTTCCACATACCTGATAATTCCTTTCGAAGGAAGATTCTGGATGGTGGCCCTATCACCATTCTCAGAGTACCAATGTTTCTACAACAATGGTATCCAGACTTGAAGCTCTTGAAGGATCAACATGAGTCACTTTCGGTTTGGGCTAAGCTACGGAACATTCCGTATGCCCTGTGGTCTGCTACAGGTATCAGTGCGGTGGCCAGTGCGATCGGTAAGCCCCTCTATGTTGACGTTCAAACAGAGCGGATAAGGATGATCTCGTTTGCCAGAGTCTGTATTGAAGTCAAGGCCACCCAAATTCTACCTGATTCAGTGGATGTTCTGCTGAATGAAGAAATCTGGCCCATTAAGGTAGAATACGAGTGGCGTCCTATTTCATGCCCAACTTGTGGCACTTTTGGCCACAAATGCCCCCCTCCTGCCACAGCTACGGCTGTGGTGGTGAAGCATGCCCCTCCAGCAGCTGCTGCTACTCCTGAGGAACCCCATTCTGGGGAGGGAAAATGGGAGAAGATTACCAGGAAACATGGTGCTAACTCCCCTGTCCTAGAACCGCCTCCCCCTACCATTTGTTTATCTTCGTCCAGACAGACCCCCTCTATCCTTGTATTGGCTTCTCCTACTTCGTTTGAGGATATGTCCGACTCGGATGACTCTCAAAATGGCAAAGCCAGTGACATTGGCAGTGATGGTGATTCCCCTTCTCCTGCTCCCCTGTCCTTGAGGTCGAGACCCGTCCTTGAGATCTGCCAAGTGTCTTCTGCCAAGAGCCCAGACCCTTCCCTTCCTGCTCCAATACAGCCCCTACCTTCTCCAGTTAACACCTCTGGATCGGCTAAGAAGCCTCCCCCGAAACCCATAAAGAGGGGGGGTTTGAAAAAAAGGTAAAGTGTTCATCTCTTTTTTGATACTTTTTGGCATATGGAATATTAGAGGACTTATGCACCCCCTCAAGCAGGCTGAGATTAGATCTTTTGTTAGATCTAACAACCTCTCGTGCATTGGTATTTTGGAGACTAAGGTCAGCCCGTCTCTTTTTGACAATATTTTTGTAGGTTTAGTGCCGGGATGGTTATGGTCCTTTAACTATGGCCACTCTCCCCGAGGCAGAATATGGGTAGGCTGGAACCCTCAGGATGTTGATTTTGTTGTTCTATCTGTATCCGAGCAGGTTATCTATGGCCGTGTAAATCTTTTGGCTTCTTGCAAGACTTGTCACCTTTCGGTGATTTATGGCAGACATACTTTTATCACTCGTCGGACTGTTTGGGAAGATCTCATCCGGTTAAGCCCGCAATTTGCCGAAGTGCCTTGGGTGATTGTTGGAGATTTTAATGCCATCAGAGACCATTCAGACAGAATTGGCAGCTCCAACTCTTGGATTCCTGCATTCGACGAGCTCGCTAATTGCCTAGATCAAGCTGGTCTTGATGACTTTCGATATGTTGGCCACAGATTCACGTGGTCTACTTCCTCAGGTACTCGGCGGAAACAGAGGAAGATAGACAGGGTGCTCATTGATGAACACTTGACCAGAGCGTTTTCTTTCTCGGAGGCTACCTTCTTAGCCCCAGGAGTTTCTGATTACTCTCCGATGGTTATAAGAATTGATTCTCCCCCGGTCCTCAGAAAGCCTTTCAAATTCTTTAACTGCTGGATGCGGCATCCCTCCTTTTTGAGTATTGTGGCGGAAACTTGGGACTCTTATGTTTCTGGCACTCCCATGTTCATTTTATGTTGTAAGTTGAAGCTCCTCAAAGGTCGCCTCAAACTTCTCAATAGGGAATCTTTCTCTGACATCTCTACCCGCACTGCCCAGGCGAGAGCAGAACTAACTTCTACTCAAGATGCCCTTGCTAGTGACCCTTGGAACCAGTCATTGGCTAACCAGGAGAAGGACCATCTCCGAGTCTTC